TGACTCTCCTGGACACCGTGCCTTCTCCGTGCTCCCTGAGGAGGGCTGGCGGCAACGGAAAGGGGGGCTCGCGATGAAGTGTCGACCCCGGCACAGACTGACGAACTGACGGAAAACATACTTCTCTGGAGCCAAGCAAGCAGCTCACTGGCTAATAGACCAGTAATTCTCCGGGGCGCTGAGATTTACGGAGCGCCTACGGCCAGCCGGGCGCTGCCTTCAGCCCCTCCTAAAGGTCATCTTGCTTAATCGTGGTGGCATTTTTTTTAACACAAAGAGAAGTGCAGAGTAGTATACAAACCCTCATTCACCCACATGCTGATTCTAAGTGTTAATATTTTGCTGTATTTACCTCAAAAATGTTCTTTCCGGGGAAGGGGTGGGAGATTTGATGGGTCCTGTCTGTCTCTCCCAAATTCCATTTTCGCCCCTCTCCTGGAAAGAAGCCATCATGTATCTATAAATAATACATACATTGTTTGGCATTGAATTGAATTTTTATTAACTTAGTTGCAGATTTGCAGGCAGCCGTAGGAAAGAACACATTTTGTGGGGTTTCCCCTAATGAGACAAAGCTGTTAGTGCCCTGTCCTAACCAGGATGTTGACATTGACACAATCCACCTATCTTCAGATTCCCTCCTGTCACCTGTCCTCATCTGCGTCTGCCCCTTACGTCTTTGAATGAACACCAACATGTCCTTCTGCAATGCTGTGTCCTTCTCAAAATCGCTCCATCTTGGTACTTTCTGTTCCAGTTCACACGGTGTATAAATATACTGCAATTTTTTATTCATTCCATATTGACATCAAAGTAGGGTTTGGGGTGGTTTTTTACTTTTTTCTCGTGTTATAAATAGCTCCTCGGTGAAGAGTGTTGTACTTGTCATCACAAGCTATACTTTAGAGAATGTGACCGGCAGTGGAATTTCCGGGTCATAAGATACCTGCATTCCACTTGATTAGACACCCACAAATTGTCCTCCAAAGCATCTATACCAATTTACACTTCCTCCAGCAGTGTCCAAATATTTCTGTTTCTCTTCATCTCCTGTGCAGAAGAGGGTCCCTATCTCGTCGTTGTTTGAACTTGCATTTCCCTGATGTAAGTAAATTTCTGATTAAAGCAGAAAAGGAAATTATTAAAAGCAACTGAAGTCTCTGGGATTGCTGAGAGAGCAGGCTCGAAGCTAGGCAGGCAGAAATGTGCAGATCGGCCAATAGCTGTCCAACGCTGTCCGTTGCTGAGTCACAGATGTCAGCGCTCAAGATCACAGACGGTAGCCCCCGGCTGCTGGTGGAAGCCCACCGCCCCGCCTCCCCTTAGACGTGGGGGTGCAGGTGCTGCAGCTCCCATGAGCTGCCACCATCAGGGAGGCTGTTCTGCTTCACGACCCCACAGCCCCCAAGGGAAGTCTGGCTGGGCGCAGCTGGGAAATGTGCATCTGATGTCGCACCTTCTTCTTTTTTGCTGCACACCCGATGTGGAGCCCCACGCGGGGCTTGAACTCAAGACCCTGCGATCAAGACCCGAGCAGGGACCAAGAGTCGGATGCTTAACCGACTGAGCCATCCAGGCGCCCCTGATGTTGGGGGAAAAGACTCTCAGTGGAGGGAGTTCCTCAAACACAGAAAGAAAGGTTCCAAATGCCCAATGGCCAAAAAATGACAAATGTCCAGTATGCCTAATTAGTAGTAAGTTGAACATCTTTAAATATGTTTTTTGGCCTCTCAGATTTCCTTGTCAGAGTGAGTTACCCATACCTATCTTTTGCCTCATATTGAGTGTATGAACTCTTTATAAACTCTGTTTATAATCTTTAAACCTATTATATGCGTTCCAGTATTTTCTCCTGGCCCGTGGCTTATCTTTTCCCTTTGGTCGCGGTGTCTTTCATCAAACACCTTCGTCATGCTGACACTTACAATTATCAATAATTGTCTTTATCGCTTGTGTCCCCTGTGCCTCCCTGGTTTGAGAATATGGCTAGATGGGGTATTTGGATTTATTCTGCTGAAAACAAGTAAATTCTAGATAAAATGTAAAAACAATCTCATTACAAGCATTGAAGAGAGTGAAGAGATAATTGCATGTAATACTGTACATGCAATAGGAAGACCATGAAGGGCATTTGCCAGCCTGGGTGACCGTGAGCTTCCTCGAAATGGCCTCGTGGTGCACGGCAGGTTGAAGACCGGGGTCTGTACCCTCTTTCGAAAATAATAGAAAGCCACTATCCCTTAAAAGTGGGACCCCAAAGGCTATCTATCTATAGAGATATATATATATATCTCCAGGGCAAGATGGAAGCAAAATTAAACTTGACCTTTGCCAGCACAGCGAGGAATTAAAAGGAAGGCTGGCTGGATACAGCAGAGGTGGCCCAGGGCCAGCTGGGGAGGAGGCTTCTCTCTGAGAAGTTCAACCACACCCCTGCCCTCTTGAGGAGCTGTAGTCCAAACCCGGGGTCTTAAAACCTTGAGCTTCAAAAGCAAAGTCGTCTCAGACTGGTCATCTGTCTCAGTACCCAGTAGAAGCAAATGTAAATTCTTCTTTTCTTCCTTTTTTTCCCAAGTAACAGAGGGGTTTCCTCTCTTCTTCTAGTATCTAGAGGTGACCCTTGAGCTAATAATGTTCAGTCTTTCATTTTTTCTCGTGGGCATTTAAGATTATACGTTTCCCCTTAAACATGGCTTTGTCTGCTTCTCTTGAGTTCTGATAAGTAGGACTTTCATCATCAATTCCAAATAATCTATATTTCATTATGCATTATTTTGCACTTTCGCATGTATCAGAGATTCTTAGCTGGCGGTTTATTACCAGTTTTTATTCAGGTGGAATTTACGTAAAGGGAATGCACATATCTTATGTATTAGAGATCAAAGGATTGTGACAAACGCACACGCCAGACCAGCTAATACCCTGATGGAGAGCTAGAACATTCTATCAGCCCACACAATTCCCCCGTGCACTCTTCCACAGCATGGAACCACCATTAGAACCACCATTTTCCTGGATCATCATATGGTTTTGCCTATTCTAGAGTTTTTGACGAATGGGAAAATAGATTTAGTTTGTGTCGGGCTTTGTTCACTCAGCAGAATGTTTTTGAGATTCATCCCCGTTGTTGCCTGTGTCCATAGTCCGTTCCTTTTTATTGCTGGGCAGTATTCTCTCATATGACTATGCAATAATTTGTTTATCTGTGCTGCTCGGAATGAGCATCTGTAGACCAATTAGGGAAGAATTGCTGTCCTAACAATATGTCAGTATGAATATTTCGGTCTTCTTTAATTACACTCAGCGATGTTTTATAAATTTCATTGGAGTTTTGCCTGTATCTTTAAACATTTATCCCTAAATAATTCCTTTTTTTATGCTTTTGGTATTTTTTTAAGTTTGTTTTCCAATTGTGCATGGCTAACATATAGAAATATAATAGATATTGATATTTGATGTCGTACTTTGCTAAATTTTATTACAAATTCTAGTGACCTTTGTGGATTCTACAGAATTCAGTATATACACTATCATCTTTTTAAGACCAGATTTTCTCTTCTAGCCATATGCAGTTTTTTCTGTTTCTTGCTTCACCATGCACTGGCTGGACCTCTGATTCAATGTCAGCTGTGAGCAATGAGAATGTGCATGTTGTTGGCCTTGTTCCCAGACGCTCAGTATTTTCATTCAAATATTGAAAGCATTCAGTATTTTATCATGCTGGCCCAGGTGGCTAGCTCTTGGTTCCTGAAGATGCCTTTATAAGGTTGAGAAAGGTCCCTTCTATTGGTAGTTTGCTGAGAGTTTTATCATAAATGGATGCTGACGTTTTTCAAATGCTTCTGGGCATCTGTTGAGATGGCTTATGGATCTTCTCCTTTGTTCTATCAATATGGAATCATGGATTGAACTGTGTCCCCCAAAAAGATGGATGGAAGTCCTAATGTGCAGTATCTAGGAATGTGTCCTTCTTTGGAAAGAGGGTCTTTGCAGATGTGATGAGATGAGGTCGTCAGGATGGCCCTCGTCCAATGTGACTGGGGTCCCTGTAGGAAGAAGGAAATGCCCTGAGAAGACAGGGACACCCGTGGAGAAGACACTGCCGTTTGACAACAGGGGTAGGGATCCGAGTGACGTGTCTACAAGCCAAGGAGCTCCAAGGCTCTGCAGCAAACCCCAGAAGCAGGAGAAGACAAGGGAGTCTTATCCCCTAACCAGTTTCAGACTTCAAGCCTCCAGGGCTCTGACACAGGAAATTTCTGTTGTTTTAAGTCCCCAGATTGTGGTGTTCTGTGGCCAGCCCTAGAAAAACAATATATAGTTGGATTACCTTAATGGATTTTGTAATGTTAAACCAAACTTGCATTTCTCTCAGTCACACTATTTTATCCATTTTATATATGTTAGGTTAGATTCGTTTATACTTTGTTAAGGATTTTTTTAAAAATTTTTGAGTACTTATTTTATTTATTTTTAAAGATTTTATTTATTTATTTGACAGAGACAGACACAGCGAGAGAGGGAACCCAAGCAGGGGGAGTGGGGGAGGGAGAAGCAGGCTTCCCGCTAAGGAGGGAGCCCGATGTGGGGCTCAATCCCAGGACCCCGGGATCATGACCTCAGCCGAAATCAAGAGTCCGACGCTTAACTGACTGAGTCAGCCAGACGCCCCTTTAAGGATTTTTGTGTCTGTGTTCATGAAGGAATAGTATCTGTAGTTTCCTTGTGGTGTATGAGGGTAATTTTCTTCTAATATCTTTGATTTGGGTATCAGATCTTTAAGCAAAAGTTTGAGGAAATAGTTGTTTTTTTAAGGCGATTTTTTTTAGTGCAGCTGAAGATTCACAACAAAACACACGAAAGGAGGGAGGTACAGTGATTTCCCTTATCCCCCTGCCCCCCCCCCCGCCCCGCCGTCATCAGCATCCCTCACCAGAATGGTGCACTCACTACCAAGAGTGAACCTGCCCTGACTCATTATAATCCCGTCCATAGTTTACCTTAGGGTTCGCTCCGGATGTCGCTCCGGGTTCGCTCCGGATGCGTTCCATGGGTTTAGACACCTTGGGGGAAATGGCTTGTTTCTAAATTTCATTTTGCATCTGTCTGTTGCTAGGATACAGAAATACAGTTGATTAGGTATATTGGTGTTGTATCCTGCCATCTTGGTAAATTCACTTGCTCTAGTTCTGGGTGGTGGTGGTTTTAGATTCCTTAGCATTCTCTAGATACTTCCACATACACGTTCCTTTCCAGTTTTCATGCTGTTTTCTTCTTGCCCCGTCTGTGGGCTAGGACTCCCAGGCAGCGTTGACTAGAAGTGACAGTGAACGTCTCGCCTTATTGTTAATCACGGGGAAAATGTTTGGCCCTTCACTGTTAAGCATGAACTCAGCTTTAGATTTTCAAAGATACTGCTTATCAGCTTGAAGAAGTTATAATCATAAATGGGTGTTGAATATTGTCCATTTTCCCGCTGCATTTTGGGGGGCATTTTTTGCATGATTTATTTTTTCTTCCATTTTTATTTTCTGCATATGAGATGATCATATGGTTCTTCTGCTAACATAGTGAGTTACACTGATTTTTCAACTAATTAAAACAACTCCATTCCTGGCAAAAGCTCTGCTTATATGACGTTGCTATTATTTTTTCCTTAGAAGTTCAGTAGAACTCACTAGTAAAGCCATCTGGACCACGAGTTTTCTTTGTGAGGAAGTTCTGTGTGTGTGTGTGTGTATGTGGTTTTTTTTAATTGAAAATATATTTTTTTAAGTAGGCTCCACACCCAGCATGGAGCCCAACATGGGGCTTAAACTCACGACCTTGAGATCAAGACCAGAGCTGAGATCAAGAGTTGGAGGCTTAACCAACTGAGCCACCCAGGCATCCCAAAAATAATAATAAAAAAAAAGATTTTATTTATTTACTTGAGAGAGAGGGCACAAGCTAGGGGAGAGGCAGAGGGAGAGGAAGAAGCAGGTTCCCGGTTGAGCAGGGAGCCCAATGTGGGGCTCGATGATCCTAGGACCACAGGATCATGACCTGAGCCAAACACAGATGCTTAACCAACTGAGCCACCCAGGTGTCCCGAAAATAATTTTTTAATTGTGGTAAAATACACATAAAATTTACCATCTTAACCATTTCTTTAAGTATGAAATTCAACAGCATTAGGCACCACAAATTTAGTGGCTTTAAACAGTAAAAATGTGTTGTCTAACAGTTCTGGAGGTCACAAGTGTGACATGAGTTGAAATCCAGGTGTTGGTAGGAACAGTTCTTTCTGGAAGCTCCGGTGGAGAATCCATTCTTTGTCTCTAGCAGCTTCTAGAGGCTGCTGGCCTTCCTTGGCTCGTGACTGTGTTACCCCAGCCTCTGCCTCCAACATCCCATGGCCTTCTCCCCAACTCGGGCACTGGTGCCTTCCTCGTAATGACATCAGATCCACCCAGATAATTCAGGAGACTCTCTCCCCATCTCAAGAGCCTTAACTTGGGGCGCCTGGAGGGCTCAGTGGGTTAAGCATCTGCCTTCGGCTCATGATCCCAGAGTCCCGGGATCGAGTCCCACGGTGGCCTCTCTGCCCCTGCCCCAAGCTCATGTTCGCTCTCTCTTACTCTCTATCTCAAATAAATAAATAAAATCTTTAAAAAAAAGGGCGCCTGGGTGGCTCAGTTGGTTAAGCGACTGCCTTCGGCTCAGGTCATGATCCTGGAGTTCCGGAATCGAGTCCCACGTTGGGCTCCCTGCTCAGCAGGGAGTCTGCTTCTCCCTCTGACCCTCTTCCCTCTCATGGTCTCTGTCTCTCATTCTCTCTCTTGCAAATACATAAAATCTTAAAAAAAAAAAATCTAAAAAAAAAAAAAGAGAGAGAGAGCCTTAACTTGACACATCGGCAGAGTCCCTTTTTCCATATAAGGTAACATATTCACAGGTCCTGGGGACCAGATGCTCTTTGAGGGGCTGGTACTGTGTCTCACCAGAGCCCACCTTCCGGTTCCCGAAGATTCACATCCATCCAATATACAAAATGCATCCATCCCATCCTACTGTCCCCCAGAGTCCGAACCCCTGACAGCACGACTCCAAGTCCCAAATCTCCTCATCTAAATAAGGTAAATCAGATATGAGCGAGTGTCTGTGTGTGATTCATCCTGAGGCAAAATTCCTCTCCATCGGTGCACCTAGAGGACAAACGATCCAATCCCCTAAATACAAGGGTGTGATAGGCATAAACTTTCCCATTTAAACGGGAAGGCAGTGGCAGGAAGGAGGGATTGCAGTCCCAAGCAATCTTGAAATCCAGGGGAGCAAACTCAGGTTTCAGGGCCTAGGAATTGTTGTCTGTGGCTCAAGGTTCTACCCTCCGGGCCCACGGCTCCACCCGGAGTCTTCCTTCCTTTTTTGTGAAGGGTAGCACGTGTCTGCAGCTGAGGAGTATTTTCCGCCTGTTTCCTGCCTGCATTGTTTTGAGAGGCAGACAGCTTTCTTTCATTTCATGTTCCTCTGTCCCTCTCCATCCAGGCTGGTAGTGTTTCTGCTGATACAGGATGTTCAGAAACCGTGTGGGCCTTCCATGCGTGCCGTTAGAGAGGCTCATCCATGGGTCTTCCGTCTCTATTCTTCGCTCCTGCTGAAATGCCACACACCTAATCTCTTCCGAGAGCTCTCCGTGTGATGACGACTGTGGCTTTTGTCCCTTTCCAGATCCACACACACACCCGGGCTTTCTCTCCAGAGCACACTTTCCTGACCGGGAGTCCCCTAACTTTACGATCGTTGGCCACCGGGACAGGTTCTTCTCCGTGTACCTGGGGGACGCAGACTAGCTGCGCAGGACCGCTTCTCCCCTGGTTCCCAGCAATGCGTTCCTCGCTTCCTTCCGAGGCCTCCCCTGAAGTGCCTGTCATGTGGGAAGCCATTAGCAGTCTGTTTATGGCAGTTTGGGTGTTACTATCTAAGATGATGTAGACTTTCTATGCCCCAGTCCTCCCTAGACGACTTAACACGCACATGTCTGCTGACAATCTGTTCACGGCAATCTAGGCTTTTTCTGTTACGCTTCTCTAAGAAATTCTTCCAGTCTCTACCCATCGCCCACCCCGGGGTCTGTTTCACGTCTGCAGGTGCTTGTGAGAGCCCACCCTGTGTGAACCAGCGCCGGGATTCTGTGCTCCTCCGTGGCCAGGTGCCATGCCATTGTCTGTCTCCACGGCAATATGCTCATCCAGACTGTTGTTAACAGACATTTGGGGTATTTCCAGTTTCTAGCTATTTGAATGAGCCTTCGAGGAATGAGCCTTTTTTGGTGGGCGTACAGTTTTATTTCCCTTGGGTAAATATCTAGGACTGGGGTCGTCTCAGGGGCCATCCTTTTTGCACTCCTAGTCTGGTGTGGACAGCCAGCTCCCACACTGCTTCTAAAGGCGGACAGCTTAGCTCCTTGTCAGTCCTGATCTTCTCTGGGAAGTTCGGTCCATATCCCATCCCCGCTGGGGCCCACGCCTTGCTCTTCTGCCATCGAACCCAGGTTCCTAAGGTTGTGATCATGTCTGAAAGCTCTGTGGGTCGTTTGGCCTCCACTTTCGTTCATTGCTGTAACTTAAAGTCCTCCCTGTATCCAGTACGCTTTCTTGCTTTCGACACCAGCCATGTATTAAAAACATCTTTGGAAGGGGGCAATTTTAGCCAGCACGCCTGTATGTTTGGGGAAGGAGGGTGAATGTACTTCTGCATCAGACTAACAGAAGAAGTCTTATTTAACAGAAGAAGTCCCTGTATGTTTGGGGAA